TAGTAAAGTGTTCTATGGTTGAAGAACACATCGTCTCTCTCTCTGTCCACACCTCTGGAGTGCTGAAATGTGCACAGTGGAAGTTTTTATCTGTTTTCTTGTTCTTATTATTCATACTCTCATGAGTAGAACTACTAGTGGAACAGTTTTAAATAAAAAAAAAAACAATAAGGCATCAGAATATATGTTGTTGTTTATCAATGTGATAACGGAAAAAAATATTTTCCACTTGAACTATATAGAAAATAAATGTTTGTTTTTCATAAACAAAAAAAACTGGCATCATGTAAACAAACTCACATTTAAAAGGTTAAAATAATCGATTGCTTGGTGATTATGATGAGAACTGATGTAAATAAAAGAAATAAGTCACTGAAAGTAAAAAATTATGTTCATATGTAACATGTTTTTGACAGGGCTGCAAGGTCGCGGTGGTTAGCATCGTCACCTCACAGCTAGAAGGTCGCCGGTTTGCGTCCCGGTGAGGATCAAAAACAGGTTAAAAATGGTTAATTGGTGATTCTAAATTGTCTGTAGGTGTGAATGTGAGTGTGCTTGGTTGTCTGTCTCTAAGTGTAGCCCTGTGATAGACTGGTGACCTGTCCAGGGTGTCCCCTGCCTTCACCCTGAGTCAGCTGGGATAGACTCCAGCCCCCCATGACCCTAATGAGAAGCGGTGTATAGATGATGGAAGGATGGATGTTTCTTTTTTTTTTTTTAAATATATTTTTTTAGGCTTTTGCCTTTATTTAGCGCAGTGGAGAGAGACAGGAAAGGGCGGAGAAGAGTGAGGGAGAGACCTGCAGCAAAGGGTCGTGAGCGGGATTCGAACTCACAACCGCTGCATCGGGGACTGTAGCCCCTGTTCATGGGTCGCCCGCTCAACCAGGTGAGCTATACGGGCGCCCAGGATGGATGTTTCTGACGTGGACATTTTTGTCTTTAAGGACCTCTGTCAAACTTTTTTAAATGGACACCTAAGGGCTAAGCTGAAAATGTCTAAACCTGGAGTAGCCAACTATGACTGACCCATACATCAGACCGTACTTCAGTCCAGGTCTAACATAATCAGGAATTCCAACGTCTTTCTGTTAGATACAACATTCAGGTCAGTCCTCATCCTTTAAGGAGAACAATAGCTTGGCTGCAGCTTCACAGGCAAAAGCAGTTCAGTGATGCTGCTGAGACTGTTGACAGCAGTCTTGAAGGTTGAAATCTGGTGTGATCAAATAAACCAGACACTCATTTTAAAGTTTTTCATGCCCTCTTCCTTCACCCTGTTCTTTCTTGCTCACTTGTGTTGTGCCAAAAAGTGATCTTCTGCCAAAAACGTCTACAGCTGCTTGTACAGTCATAACAAACACCCATAGCGGAGACAGCAAACGTTTGTCTTTGTGAAACTTTAACATTTCTTGTAATATATGTGACCAAAGAAATGTTTGTAGTTATAATCAGGCCTGACATTTATATCAGTTGTCGACTATTAAATGACTCACCAACTATTTTCATCACTGATTAATTGGTCTGAGTCATTCTTTAAAGAAAAAAAATCTAAATTCTCTGATTCCAACCTATAAAATTTGGGCTGTGTCTGAAGTCATCCACTAACTCCCTATCTGTGGACCACTACCTCGGCAAAAGTGACGTTTCTGACACTACTCGAATCGTGGCACCATTGATTACGTCGCTCGTTAGCTGTAATTTGTTCTGTAGCAGCGTAGTGCAAACACATCAAATTCAGGAATAAGAAACAAACCAAATTCAACAACACAACCTAAACCGGAAATTACTCACATTTGTCTAACAAGTCTTTGCACTCTCGTTAGCACTTTCCTTGATGGTACATATTGCTCAGTTAGAGCCCACCGGCGTTGCTACTCTTCGTGTTGCATTGTGGGATATTTTGAGCGCACCATACTGGGTGTAACTTGGAACAGCACTACATAATGGCGGACACCCTATATAGTGTGCTATGTAGGGTATAGTAGGTGTATTTTGGACTTAAAGTCTGCCTGTCAACTGCACAACAGAGCATTTTAACGCTGAGCTGCTAACTCTGCAGAGAACAAAGGTGCGACCGGTTTCCTCCAAAGTAGGGCATCAGAAACCTCCATAGCAAGCCATTATTCTTTAACGCTTTAACCGCTGGCTAACAAGGACACATGCATATCCTGTTTTATTGGGGTTATAGAGCTGTATGCTGTTGGGGGGTTAAATCATTGGGTATGTGGCTCCACACATGTTAAAGTTAATGTCAATTAGTCTGCACCAGGTGCCGGGTCCTTGCATACAATCTAGCATCCTCTTTTTCTGCCCTGGCAACATATTCCTTTTAAAAATCACCACACAATCTGAATTGGCTTCTAAGCGGACCGAGCGATGACAGTCAAACCTCCCGCTTCAGTCTCTTCTGTTCTGGCTGAAAACAAAGGTCGATGTCTTCACACGGTTAATGGACCAAACAACGACCCACATGTTGTCTTTTTTGATTATTACATTATTAGACTGATCTTTTGATTCAGCCCATTTCTCATCAATCGAAGGTAGTAACACCATTTTCAGCAGGTGACTTGTGGTGATTAATTCAACTGCCTGGTGACCTATATCCATAAGTCCGCTACCTAGTGAGCTCCAGAAAATATGATAGATTATCTCAAATGTACCTTTTGTGCAAAACAAGAGAAATGAACCCACCACCAAAGGAAAACAAGCTTTGTGTGCCAGCATCGAGGACTTTTTGGCATTTAATTCAGCTCCAAAGGTAGCCATCAGCACCAAAATGGTAAGGATTGAGAACAATAAACAGCAATTCCATACAAAAATTCTGAAGACATGATGGCACTTATTAATTATGGCTCCAAAAGTACTGCAGCTGTGAAGAGTAGACGACTAAGAATTTCTCCTGAATGCTATTTCCTGATTGACAAGTGCAGGTAGAGCAACAAGTCCACGAAAACCTGTGAAAAAAACACCTTAAGATTGGAGGTATTTAGCGTTTAAGCTGTCAATTAGGGACAAAACCACCAAACGTCAGAATGAAAACAACATAAAAGAGCATTTAAAGGAGGAAAGAAGGAGCCCAGAGACAGACATCTAGATCCGCATCATAGTATCACTTCATACGATCAACATCACAAAGAAAACTGTTGTGATTTGGCTAATTTAAGACTCTTGCAACCAAAGTTTAGTTACAGCTCTAAAGCAAGATGATAAACAACAGATGGAGTATTAAGTAAAAGCTGAATTTAAAATGTACTTAGAGGATCACTGCACAATACGGATGCACACCTCACAGTCATATAATAGTACAAACACTATATTGCATTTGACAATGCAGAATAGTAAATTAATTCAGTCTTATGTGGCTAAAGCTACGGATAAATGCGATAATAGTGTTGCTATCTATTCGCTCTTAGCCTGAACGATGGGGTAGAACCCTTTAAAAGGAGGCAGGATGGTAGTGGGACTACTGGGTGTCAGGTGCGACAGTGCGGCGATGGCAGATGCTTAACATGGCTCACGACTCCGGCAGCAGCTCCTCAGGGAGGTCAGGACCCACTCTGCTCGTCACACTCTTTCAGTCAGTAAAAAAAAGAGGTGCAATGGTTTAACCCTCATGCACCAATGAGGACATTTTTGTTTGTTTAATGTTTGATTTTTAGATTATTTTGGCCGTGTTGATGCTTTTGACATGCAATTTGGTAAAGATGGGTATTTTGTGGGGGAATTTTGAAATTTTAACCTCAGCTCCCAAAATACATCAATAAAACACTGTTACACTCAGAACCTTAAAGACAAAAATGCCCCCATTGAAACCCATTATAAAGACTACTTTTGATCCCACTGCCATTATTGGGCTTTTATTCTGGAACTTTGGCTTCAAAATTGTTCATTTACTCTTTTCCACTATCCATCCATCCATCCATCCATCCATCCATCATCTATACACCCCTTAATCCTCACTAGGGTCGTGGGGGGCTGGAGTCTATCCCAGCTGACTCAGGGTGAAGGCAGGGGACACCCTGGACAGGTCACCAGTCTATCACAGGGCTACACTTAGAGACAGACAACCAAGCACACTCACATTCACACCTACAGACAATTTAGAATCACCAATTAACCTCAACATGTTTTTGGACTGTGTGGGAGGAAGCTGGAGAACCCAGAGAGAACCCACGCTGCACGGGGAGAACATGCAAACTCAAAGTGTAACTTTTTATTTATTTTTTATTTTTAAACATTACAATGCATAAAAATTAATACACCAGAATCAAGTTGGTGTTATCACTGACACACACAGCTTGCAATAATTTAAAAAAAATACCTTTAGGACTTATTTTATAGAAAATAATAGATTTGTGTGTGTGTGTGTGTTTTTTAATAAGAAACTTAAGATAAGTCATTGAAAGTGAAAATATTCTTACTATCTAATGTTTTTCTCTCATTGTTGTTGACATTTTTGTCCTTCAGGACCTCTGTGTAACTTTACTTTAAATTGAAGCCTCAGGGTTAAAGCAGACTGTGACCTCTGCAGGTAACTGCCTCCTTTTCCAACCCTACACTCTCCTCCCCTCCTTCCAATGCTGCACTAAAATCATTTTTTAACCACTTGTGTTCCTTGAGATCAGAGTTCCTCCAGCTTAATAGACATTTTTGTGGAATAAATTCCTGTCAACTGGAGGACAAGCTGTACTTACTGTGGCCTGTGGCCCCCAGGAGAAGCCCTGCAGTATAATATTAAACTTGCATTTTTGAGATAACATTAAAAATTAACCTAAATTACGGCCATTCTTAGCTACAGGGTGTTTGGAATCCATGTGCTTCAACTTGTGAGAACTTTGTTGCATCTGACAACCAAGTGGATTGCTCTCTTGTTTGACCCCCTCGGTACCTGGACGTACTCAGCAGTGGTTGTTGGACACTAGTTGCTGCTGCAGGTCGGACCGGTGCTCTCCTCCCTGCAGCTCCAGCGTGTGTGCGCACCTACAACACCTCCTCACCTCCTCAGCCTCTCCTTGGTGTAAACCTCGAGCTGCCAGCCCGGTCCTCAGCTCACTGATGTCCACCCTGCCATCTTTATTCAAGTCCAGCTGCTCGAACAGCTCCGCGTACCTCCTCTCCCTGTCCGGGTCCAGAGACGCTCCGTTATCTCCGTTTTCTTCGTGTCCTCTGCGGCGTGAGGAGGCGCAGAACCGCTCCTCGTCGTCGCCCATGTGAATGAGAGAACTCCGCTTTTCTTCGCTGGTCGACTGTTCGTTTCGCAGCCGAGCATAACACGGTCAGAATCCTAAGCGAGGGGTTCGTCCGGGTTTCCAGAGGAGCCGAACCTCCTGTACGTGTACGGAGCGTGTGCTGAGCGCATAGAGGCTAAATGGCTGCGTCGTTCTGCCTCCGCTCGAAGGAACCGTCTCCTCTTGGATGGATGCGGCTTAGACGAGCTCTCGTGAGATTAATCCTCGTGTCGGTTACACACTACATCACGCTGGCACGCGCAGTTCCATAATCTCATTCAAAATGATTTAAAGTTTCCGTCAGAGGAGGAGCTCGAGGATGAATTTACCGCAGTCCGTCAGTGCGGACGCATCTGTGCGCGCACCGTCACAGCTGTCAGGCGACGAGCTTCGACTGGGGGCTTTTCCAGCTGATGTAGTAAAAAAATTTAAATGAAAATTACAAATCCTGAACCAACACGAAGGGAGAAGTGAGTAAAAAAACGTATTTACCTCCGTGGATGAATCCGTCCACTGCGTCTGACGGCTCTGCTGCATCACATCGGACGCACGTCTCCAGCGCGCACGTTTACGGCGCGGCACAGAGAGGAGGGAGAGCCGGTAGGGGAGCCAGACATCCTCAGAGGAGGGTCCAGCCTCACACCACGGCTCCTTCTCCTCAATTTCTCTCTTTTTCCCCCAACAAATTGCTGTTGACTTCATTTTTATTTTGTTAGTCACTCACTTCATACATGCAGGAGAACTCATGCGCAATATGATTAGTTTATATTTACGTACACTGACCCTCAAGTGGTTGTTAAAGATCTGCTTTTTAATCCGTTTAACTGTTTAAAAAGCAAACTCAAGGCTTCCTCTTTAGTCAGGCTTTTGATTGATTTGATACTCTTCTTTGAATTAATTTTATTTGTGTATTTATTCATCTGTTTCCATATTTTAGTCCATTTAATGTAGTTTATTCCTTATTTTTTATCATTTCTTTTTCTGTTTTTGTCTTCTTTTTTCTACCTCTATCTCTATTTTAATAGTATACATATATATTGATTAATTTTATATATTTATCTAGTTTATTTGATCTTGTTTTATTTCATTTCATCTCATCATTGCATGTGTTATATAGCATAACATTTCCTCAGTTGCTCAGTCCCTGTGTTTTGGAGTCCTTTATTGATGACTGTGGGGGTTGTTTGTGCAGTTTTAATGACTTTTTAGTGCTGTTATCTCTAAAGCCCTTTGTGTTTCATTTTATTTGTATTAAGGGTGGTATATAAATAAAGTCTGACTGATTGATTGATTGATTGAATAAAGCTCATACGATACTTGTCAGTGACTTTGTTCTCCTCAGGACGCCCACCTCGCTGAGACATCACACTGTGTCCATCCAGCCTTTTAGTTTCTCTCTTTGGGTTGCAGGTTCTGGATCAAAGCCTCATTGTTCAGCGGTTTGTACCACTTGTTTACAGAACTCGTTTATGTAGGATTCATCCCGGCAGTCTTCAAGAGTCTGTAGAAGAACTCCACAGCTACACCTAAATCATACATAATTAAACTAATTAAAACATGAACAATGAAAATGACTTCAGGGTGATGCCAAATGACCACAAAGTGATTGAAAATGACTTCAAAAAGATGCAAAATAACTTCAAAGTTACACAGAATGACGACAAAGTGACGCAAAATCCCTTCAAAGAGATGAAAAATGACTTAGAAGTTACACAAAATGACGACTGGGGACACAAAATGACTACAAAGTGACACAAAATCATTTCAGAGTCAAACAAAATGACTACTGGTGAAACAAAATGACCTTAAAGTTACACAAAATGACTACTAGTGGACACAAAATGAGTACAAAGTTACACAAACTGACTACAAAGTGACATAAAATGACTTCAAAGAGATGAAAAATGATTTCAAAGTGACAGGTAATCCGGAAAAGATTGGAATTCCGTATTTCAGAAATGATCCAGATGTCACGAAAACAGGTTTTTACTGGGTCTCCACTGACACACAACACACACAAAGATACACTTACCTGGGACTAAAAATGACCCTTACAGATAACTTGAATGTTTAATCTGGCTGTTGATGATGTCAGAGAGAAGTGAAGACGGGTTTTCTGTTCTATAAAACAAACCCTAGAAACAGATTTAACTGTTAGAATCAGGTTTAAAACATTCACACCTGTGATTGAACCAGTTCTACTCTATGGGACAAACACCCAACAACAGAAACCCACCATGCATGGATGTGTCACAGAAAGAGTCCAGGGTCAACAGGAACGACCCCGACAAGGATGTGATCAGCTGAACTAAAGATAAGATAAATTTTATGGCTCGCTCACAGGGGAACTTTAACTGTTACAGCAGCTGGATTCAGATGAGACGTGAAAGGAGCAGGACAAAAAATAAAGTCATGGTATGGATTTTATGGATTTATGATGGATTTACACATTTAAGGAGCAAAGTTTGATTGTTTTCAAAGAGGTGTAGAGAGACAGATAGTGTGGCACCAGAAGAGCTATAGACAAAAACCAAACAGCAACGCTCCAACAACCAGACAGACCACAACTCAATTCTGCCATTAGAAAGTGGATTTACAAAAACCAACCAGCAAGCGATGGGAATGAGTCCAATCCAGTCAGGTAATGGTCCACCCAGGTTTCCCAACACGGTTCAGTTCAATCCACTTCGTTCCAAACTCAATTAAAAATCCGATCCGGGTTTTACCAAGAAACCAAAACAGGAAATCACCGATACTCAGCGTGGATCAGTCTGTGAGGGAAACGCCACCAAGGAAACCCTCCATCCATCCCTGCTGCTCCGGTAAAAGAGGCTCCTGTAGATCCGCTACAATAACTTTTACGCACGGTGGGAGGTGATCGTCCTTCTGCTCCACTGATCCAAACACACCGGCGACTCTCGGGCGCTAAAAGGTTTTTTGTTTTTTTTTTCCTGGAGGTTGGATTCAAACTGCGCGGTTGTGTGGACAGTGAGGATTGGATCATTGGGTGATTGTGGGAGGTGACGGAGACCAACCTGAATGAATGAATAAATGAATGAATGAATGAATGAATAAATGAATGAATGAATGAATGAATAAATGAATGAATGAATGAATGAATGAATGAATGAATGAATGAATGAATGAATGTGGGTGTAGATGTGATTCTCACACGGTGATGCTGCTGCAAACTGGAAGAGCTGTGGGAGGAAAACTGTTAAAAATGTAGCTATAAAGAGAAAAAAACTGTTTTAAAATATGTTATTGGAACAACATGATCATATTGCATTGTGAATGTAGCAGCTTCATCCTGTGTTAGTTTATGTTTTAATAGTATTTAACTGGTTATTTGATCTCTTCAGTGTTGTTAATTTTAAGGTTACTGCACTGTTAAATAGTAGTTGGTTAATAGTACTGAGCCTGTTATTTATTTTTTATTCTCATTTTCAAATGTTTTGCTTCCTTCTAACCTGTGCTTCCACATCCCCAGTAGACCACTGAATAGAAGACTGCAGAAGCAACCACAGTGTCATAGAAAGTCTTCAACAGTGTCCAAAGGACCTCAGTGCCCAAAGTCCAAAATCTTGATTCCCTCTAGGAGCAAACATATGCTTGAAGACATATACTTGTTTGCACCATAGAAGCAGCCAGATATGTCCGAGACAACCAGCTCGGCCACACATGACAGCTGTAGTCAGTCTTCTCATAGCTCACATTCTGCCTTCTGACACTCTAAACCTTTTTTGTAGGAACTGGATTAGTTGGATCCAAAAGAGGACCAGGAAAGCCAAAAGTGAGCAAATCATTAGAGGATTAATATTTCAAGCTTCATCACAGATACAGAATTTGTTAAAAACAAACTGATGAACAAAACAAAATCAGCATAAGTCCCATCAAAACAAGGACCTTCTGAGGACGCGTCTCTAAGCTGCTTCTCAAGAGGGGAAACGAGAACAAACATGTGGTGTGGGTGAAGAGGAGCAGCGTTTCAGAGGAGCGGTGGACGGTAGAACAAAGTCCAGGAGATAAGTTATCCACGGTGAAACATGTTTCTGGGAATATTCAAGTCTGGGGAGGGTTTCAACAGCTCCAGTGAATCTCCTCCACTCTGACCAAGGAGAAGCTGCAGTAACTCCATGATTCAGGGACACGGTCCACCCTCTGGTGTGCATCACTGTGGAGAAACAAATAAACATTATAATACTCTATAATTCATAATCATTCTTCACTGATTCAACTTAAATTGTTAAGATGGTGCGATCAGTTGTAATGAAGTTAAAAAAATAAAGCAGAATATGTGACGCATGTTGACAGAAATATATAGACGTCCTGTGAAGGTATGATGTATAAGCATGGGCTAACATTAACTGCTATTAAGTTCTGTTTGTGCATTGATGTAAAGTAGTACATACAACAACAACAACAACAACAATAATGATAATAATTATGATGGGGCTGCAAGGTGGCACAGTTGGTAGCACCGTTGCCTCGCAGCAAGAAGGTCGCCGGGTCGCGTCCCAGTGAGGACACCTGGGATCTTTCTGCGTGGAGTTTGCATGTTCTCCCCGTGCAGCGTGGGTTCTCTCCAGGTTCTCCGGCTTCCTCCCACACAGTCCAAAAACATGTTGAGGTTAATTGGTGATTCTAAATTGTCTGTAGGTGTGAATGTGAGTGTGCTTGGTTGTCTGTCTCTAAGTGTAGCCCTGTGATAGACTGGTGACCTGTCCAGGGTGTCACCTGCCTTCACCCTGAGTCAGCTGGGATAGACTCCAGCCCCCCATGACCCTAGTGAGGATTAAGCGGTGTATAGATGATGGATGGATAATAATAATAATTAAAAAAAACTATCAATAATATCATGAATTATTAATTATTAATATTATTACTGATCCAAGTAATACTTCAGCCTTCACAGTCACTGTGTTGGCAGGGCTGTGAATCACTGTGTGAGTCAAACAACTGATGGACTATTAATAGCATCA